GCCGAGGCCTCCTTTCTCGGGGCTCTCGGTGGCCAACTGCGTGTGTGGGAGCTGGGGCGCTGGGCGGAAGCTGGGCACATGCTGCTGACATGGACCTTCAGGTACTTAGGCAAGAATGGCGCTGGGTCTCCCCATTCCGTGAGCACACACTCTGCTCAGTGACCTGCCCGAGGCCATCAGCTAGTTAGAGGGGCTGAAGCTAGTCTCCCGGGCCCTTCTCTGCTGCCCTGCAGACCTCTGCCCTCCTTGGCCCTGACTCTGGACACTGCTGTCCACGGCTTTGCAGTGTTGGGAGTTTCTCCGCCCCCCACGCGGTCAGGTGCCCCCCACGCGGTCGGGCGCCCCCCACGCGGTCAGGTGCTCTCCAGCGGACCACAGAGCAAAGTGGACGAACTGGCTTGTCAGGTCAGTCCCCCTCGACGTGTCATGGTCATTACGGGCACCCAGGCCTAACTGCAGGAACTCAGATTTGGAGTTTAGGAGAGAATAGAGCAGGGAGACTAAATTCTTTATTCTGCTACCTCAGAGCTAAGCCGATTGATTAAATTTAGAATATTACAAAACCTCTGCATGGCCAGAAAGAATTAGATTATACAACTGAAATTCATTTCTAAGCCAGAACTCCTTAGACTGGTGTAGAACCCTTTCAGGACCGAAGGGAAATCTTCACTTAAAAATAAGAATACAGAAAGCAATTTAACAGCTACAATGGCAACAGCTAAGTCTTCTAGCAAAGAAGGGGGTGGCATTTGGCTTCTGTTCTGTCCTTTTGCAGGAATGACCCGCACACATCAGCGTGTCTGATCGGACAGTCTTGCTGGGCACCTGGTGCGAACGTAGCTCCCCGCGGGATGAGATGGAGGCCGAACTCGGCAGGGCCCCTGGGACACGCCGCCGGGCTGGAGGGGAGCTGGCAAACCCACACGCTTCTCACGATCGGGGGGCAGCCGCCCTCAGCTGCTGTGCGGCCCTGACCAGTGGAGCTGCTTTCCCGGCCAGGTGCCCAGCGCAGGTCTCCGGGCGGTCAGGACGTGGCACAGGGAGGCAGGCCAGCAGAGGCCTGAGCACATGAGTCGGGCACCCCTGCGGGGACATGTTGGAGCGCGAGCGGAAGAACAGGCGGGCGAGCCTGTCCTTGGTGCAGGTGGCGCTGGGGAGCCCCTGGGGGCCTGCACGAGGACCGTGGCCTGTGAGGCCCTGGGCAGGTGCTTCCAGCCGCTGGGGGTGAATGGAATCCCACGGGAGGCTGAAGCCTGCGGACCAGTGATGACGATGTAGCAAAACCCCTGCATAACGTGGCAAAAAAGAAAAGAACAAGAAAGCAGGTGGTTGTAGTCAGTCAAGTAAGAAATAACCCGGGGGGGAAGCCGCAGGATTTGGGACAGCTGCCTGCCGGGGCTACATGGGCAGAAGGAGCCAGACTCACAGGCAGCGGTAGGACCACGGTGACCTTCGGCGGGAGCCTTGCTCGGGTTCCGGCCTCTGCGAGTTTCTTTAGCTGCCCCAGTGTCAGCCGCCCGCGGGGTGGGTGTCCCTGCTGCAGAAACCCCTCTCAAGTGAGTGACGTCTCTGTTCCTCAGGGATGTTCTGGAAAGCCCTCCTGGGATTTTAACAGCATTACTTGCAGAAGTCCAGTACATTTCCCACCAAAGTTCTGGAGGTCATTCTAGCGATTGGATTGAGGTGGGCTTTTTTTTTTTTTTTAATTGCAAATTCCTGTAGAATTTGAACAACACTAGAGCATCCTAAGTGTGTCTTCTGGCAGAATCCGACCCATGCCTCACAAACCGTGCACTAAACCCTGTGCTCCATAGTTATCGTCTAAATAAAAACTCTGCATCAGGCTTTAATTTGATGAAAGCGGATATTATTTGACAAATTAAAACTGCACTCGTCCCGACCAAAAATGCTGCACATCCACAGATTTCGACCGCTGCCCATGCCCTTGTGCTCAGAGAAGCTACGTTCAGGACACGATGCCCTTCTCTGTGCCTCACAAACAGCCCTATTCAGGAACACAAAGCCTAACTGTTGTACAAATACTAGTATTCAGATGCGTTTGTGTTTTGTTAATGCGTTTAATCATGTACAATATAGCTTTTGTTTCTCTTCCACATTTGCATTAATTTATATCAGCCACAGAATATAAAGCACAGCCAGAAATTCAGACCCCATTTCTGTGGCAACCTATAAGTTATCAGTGCGTCCCTGCAAAAATCTACAGCTTGATGCCGGCCATGGTGTTTTCCTGTCACTGCAGGGCAGGGAGGCCTTACGCGGCTGCATCAGAAATAATTGTGTTCTTATGGGTTTGAATTTCATCAGTGGTCGGAGAAGACGGGCCATGCTCTGAATGACGCATTTCTAAGGCACCTCACAACTGCGTCCTGTTTCGTGGGGGCTGGAATGAGGTCACGGTGATCCCGGGTACCAGGTGTCCGCCTTGAACTCTGTCCCTGGCAAACACTGAGGACCTAGGTTGGGGTGACGTGCTCTTCTTTGGAGATACAGGTGAAGAAGTGTCTGCCTGTCATGCTGTCCTTCATGGGACCATCTGACCAATGTGATTTTGTTGAAAGAGCGTGGAATCATCTGCCTTTTCTGTCTGATGTGTTAGGGAAAGTGTGTGCTCGAGATGCACACACTTCTGAGACGACGTGTAACGGAAGGAAGAGGCCGCTGCCTCCACTGGGTCCCTCCCGGTCCCTGCAGGGGCCCTCCGTGGCCTCCCCTTCATCTCTCCCGTGGCCAGCAGTCCCGCCCACCTGTGCCCACCTGCAGGCCCAGCCACCTTCTGCCTGGAAGTCTGGTCCCGTCCACATCCCACAGCGGCGTCTGGTCCCTCTTGGGAGCCCTTCCTGGCCCCTGAGGTCTGTGCAGTCTTGACCAGGCACCTGGGCCTCCCACCCAGCGGCTCCTCTCACCAGGCCCTCCGGCTCCAGGCCGTTCTGCTGGGCGTCCGCCCCCCTGCAGAGGCACCGCCACTCCGCCCCAGTGCGCCCCTGGACCCCTCCCTCCATCCCTCAAGGGGCCTCCCTCAAGCCCCGTACCCTGCCCTGCTCTGCTGTCTTCATTAGCATAGGCTGGCAGGACATTACCCGTGGTGTTTGTGTCCTGTGGCCGCAGCAACAAATAACCACAAACCGGGTCATTTACGACGGCAGGAAGTTCCTCTCTCACATTCTGGAGGCTGGGAGTCTGGAACCAGGGTGTCAGCCGGCTCTCAGGGGCGATCCGTGTCTCTTACCTTCTGGTGTCCCCGCATCTCTCCAGTCCCTGCGGCCATCACGCGGCCTCTGCCCTGTGTGTCTCTGTCTCTGTCCAAAGCCCCCTCTTTTTATAAGGACACCAGTCACTTGGTTAGGCCCCCTCTCTTCCAGTACAACCTCATCTTACCTTGCTTATTTTTTTTTATTATTATGTTATGTTAATCCCCATACATTACATCATTAGTTTTAGATGGAGTGTTCCATGATTCATTGTTTGTGCATAACACCCAGTGCTCCATGCAGAACGTGCCCTCCTCAATACCCAGCACCGGGCTAACCCATCCCCCTCCCCCCTCCCCTCTAGAACCCTCAGTTCATTTCTCAGACTTTCTACAAAACACCCTATTTCCAAATAAGTTCACATTCACAGGGACTGGGGTTTAGGATGGGGACTTGCCACTTTGAGGGACACTTCATTTCAGAACATTCATTTCCATCAATGTTCATGAGACAAGGACCACATCTTGTTTATTACTGCAGCACAAACATCTAGCTCAGTACATTACACTTATTAGGTGCTCAGTCAATAATGGATGAGTGGCTGGGTGGGTGGATGGATGTTTGGGTGGGTGGCTGGGTGGCTGGGTGTTTGGGTGGCTGGGTGGTTGGGTGGCTGGCTGGGTGGGTAGCTGGCTGGGTGGCTGGATGGATGGTTGGGTGGATGGAATTTTGGGGGTGTGGCTGGGTGGTTGGGTGGCTGGGTGGTTGGGTGGCTGGCTGGGTGGGTGGCTGGGTGGGTGGGTGGCTGGGTGGGTCGGTGGGTGTGTGGGTGGAGGAATGCATGGGTGACTGGGTGGAGGGGTAGCTGGGTAGACAGATCTGTGGGTGGTTAGGTAGGTAGGTGGCTAAGCAGATTAATGGATAGGTGGGTGCTGCTGTTGGGTAAATGTCAGTGAACAGATGGGTGGGTAGTTGGGTGGATAAATGGATGGATGGGTGGATGGATGGTATTACAGGTAAGTGTGAGTAAATCCACATTTTCTCTAAATAAGTAACTAAGGGTGAAGTGGAGTGGACATGCACTTAAACCTAACTTGCAACTTGAGAGCAAAATGGGTGTATTGGTGTTCTGGAAGGAAATGCTTTATTTTTGTATGTATGTAAGAGGTATGGGAGGTGCTAGAGCACATGGAACATTCCCACTTCAAACTTTATCACTGTGGCTGCTTACAGAAGAGGAGCCACATGAAAATGTCCTCAATAAGCAGTTCTCTAGTGCAAGAGCCTCTTGTGGAATCTGGAAACTAAAGAATTCTAAATGTCCTGTTTCTTTAGGGCATACATTACAAAAAGACGTGGGAAGTTCCACTTTCATCAAGAACACTACAAATACCTTTGGTCAAATCAGTGCTCCCAGCACGTTTAGCTTATGCACCAGTGAAGTTTTAGAGATTGAATGTCCCGCAGTCCTGGCCTGTCCACGCACAACCATGGCAGCACCCAGGGGTGACTGCCGCGTCCACGCCGGCCGCTTCAGCGGGAAGCCGGGGTGCGCTTGGCCTAGGGGGCCAGACCTCGAGTAGGGGCCCTGAGACAAGACCTGCAGGTAGAACACTCAGGGCAGATCGGGTCCTGCCAGAAGCCGTCTGGGGCTGCCACGTAGCTTGCCGGCCCCGCGCACATTCTGTGGCTTTGGTAGGAGACAAGCAGGTCCCTCGCCCTGGAAGAAAGCGGCATTGTCCCTCGCTCTGCTTTGCACGGCCCGTGTTCATGTCTCACTGTTGTTTGCAGGGGAGGCAGATGTGGAGCAGAACAATGGGACCCCCTCTCAGGACACAGCGGTGACAGACTCCAAGCGCACAGCGGACCCGAAGAATGCCTGGCGGGACGCCAACCCAGCTGACCCCGGGGGCCGCCCCCACTTGATCCGCCTCTTTTCCCGAGATGCCCCGGGGAGAGAGGACAACACCTTCAAAGACAGGCCCTCGGAGTCAGACGAGCTCCAGACCATCCAAGAGGACAGTGCAGTCAGTCCTGAGGGCCTGGATGTGATGGCGTCACAGAAAAGACCCTCCCAGCGGCACGGATCCAAGTACCTGGCCTCAGCAAGCGCCATGGATCACGCCAGGCATGGCTTCCTCCCGAGGCACAGAGACACGGGCATCCTTGACTCCCTCGGGCGCTTCTTTGGCGGTGACAGGGGTGTGCCCAAGCGGGGCTCAGGCAAGGTGAGCTCTGAGGAGTAACTAGGGGCACACGGAACGTGTGTCCACTTTAGTTGACAAGGAAAAGGAAGGAAAGTCAGCAGGTGAGCTAAGCCCTGGCAGAGACCCTGGCACAGCCCCCCGCCATCCAGCTGCTGTCCTTGCTGGCCATGCTCGCGGCCGCGGCCACGGGTGGGGGGGGCAGGGGGGCTGGGTTGCTGCTTTTGCTGCATTTCCACCCAACTCAGCCTCCTTCCCCTCCTCGCAGTGGATGCAGTGTGGATGTGGCTCAGGAATGCAAGAACATTCTGAATTCTGCATCCCTGGGGGGCGTGGCGTGGGCGTCGTGGGCATTGTCCGGGGTCTCACGCTCGGGGTTTTGTGGCTGATTCCGCTTCCGTGCCCACGCTTTTGGGGTCGACACTGGGTTGTGCTCATTTTCCTTGGCATCCGTGCTGCGAGCTTCGCGTGGTCTTGCAACAATCGTGCGATTGAGGACTTTTGAACAAACTCGAAATTTAAATTCGCCTTGAGCAAATTGTGTCTTTTATCTGAGTTATTTAGGGGAAAGGGGTGGAGTGATCCTTGCGTGTGCCTATGAATCAGAACTGTATTATTTTGTTATTCCATTAATTCGAATAGAGAATCTGTGAGGTTTCACTATGTAAATGTTCTGTAGATACAAATTGTATCAGGAGGGGAAAAGCTCCCGTTGTGTCCGTTCCCAGCCTCGGCTCCTGTGGAGTGGATGGTGACTGGGTCATCTATGGTGGTGGTCCATCAGAGAGCTGAGTCCCAAGTGGCTTTGCTGTAGCAAACACATAGCATGTCCTATGCCTCCTTCGGGTGCTGTCTTAGCTGGGTCCTTTGGGAAGGAGAGGGTCTTTCCAGGAAAGCCCGGGCTTATTGCTGTGCTCAGAAAACACACACGATGTAGCTTTTCTCCTGGCTGTGCATCCTGCTGATCCTGAAAGTCCTGGGAATGTAAAGATTCTTTTGAGTGAAGTGTGGAGCAGGGGCCCTGACTTGCAATTTTAAAGGGGTTTCTGAAATTTACTTTAGTCTCTGACTGCAATTTTTTAAATTCCTGAGGATTGTGAAATCGTTGAACAGTAAACGGGAAGGCAGTTTGGCCGCGCGGGAATTAGGGCGCCAGCAGGCTCAGGTGCAGCTACTGTGTCTCTCGCATCTGCCCCCGGGTGCCAGCATCGCCCACGTGACACTTGGCGTGACGTCTGGTGACTAACACTTGCCGTGTCTTAAGTGCCAGCGGGGTCCACCTTCTGCTTGCTTCTTGCAGTGTCCGTCTTTGCAGACAGTGGCTTTAACTTTGGGGCAGTCTTGCGTCACCCTAAAGTGGTGGTCGTCTGACTTCTTTCCAGTGCTGATTTCAGTCTGAGGTGCTTTTAGAGCATAGCTGTGAAACCACCCCAGACTCTGGCTGCCGAGTTGCGTCTTGCGGTTATTCTCAGCCCCCAGTAGGCATGCAGCACCGCCAGTTGAAAGCTTAAGCTGTTCTGCTTCACTCAAGGTACAGGAAAAAATATATTTACACTGTGCAGAAAAGATTAAGTCGCTGTATGGCATATGTTATAAAACAAGCTTCATTTCAGTGGTAATGGTCTAAATTAAAATCGTGAATGCATTGATATCAATCATTGTGACTTTATTTCAGAATGGATATATACGTATGTGTGTACGTGCATCCGTGTTTGTTCTCCTCTATGTAGAATTACAACCATTGTTGCTTTAATACTTTCAAAGGAAAGATTCACCTCAGAAGGAGGCATCAACTTTGCAAAAGAGTGTTGCCCGATTATCAAGGATCCAGAGAAATCAGAATATTTTCACAGGATTTTTAAAAATGAGAATCATGTTTAAACAATTGTTTTAGAATTTTTGAAGTATCAATTCTGTTCACTACTGAATGTTGAATAAAGAGGATTTAAAAACGAACAGCCTTGCCTTTTGCTGCCAGAGAAATCCGTTAGAGTTTGCACGCATCGTCACATAGCGGCTTCCCACGAACGCAGGCCCGGGATGCCTTCCTGTGTAGCATCTGCTGGAACCAGTATCTGTTCGGCACCCCTGTTTTACTGCGGACTCTTTGTTTGCTCTTGAACACTGGAGATGTGAGCTTAAAACCTCTCCGCCCAGGCGCACGCCCACGAGGGCCTTAGGATTCTGGGGTATTTACCGGTGCGGACCGCGAGGGGTGATTCTGTGGCTTTGTTTCTGTTCTTGCTTTGCTCTGCGTGTCGTAAATCAGCAGAGCCCTCATCTTATAGAAAGGTCTTTGGATTGAGGCTTGAGAGAAGGGAAGCAAAAGGCCTGATTATTGTCCCTAAAAGCCCATTTCGTGTTTCCACCATTGGTCATTCCCGAGACAGTTGTCTCAGGTACATGGTATCCTAAAGAGCACCCCCAGGCCTGAGGGTCGGCTGCCCCACCTGGGGTGTAAAGTTGGGGGGAAGCAATTATTCTGCTTGTCCGTCTGCAGTGGTTTTTCCTGGTGGAATCGTGCAAGGCTAAAGGCAAGGCCCCTGGGAAGGAGGGTGTTGGTCCGGGGACCCCTCCGCGGCCCCCCACTCCCCCGAGGCCACGTGGCGCTTCCAGCCCTGGGCTGGCGCTGCCCCCCCCATCCTCAGAATGCCTTGACAACACCCACCTTTGTGTGGCCTGGCGTTGACATTCAAGGAAAGTGCATTATAAATTCCTGGAGGAGGCATATTCTTTTGCGAGCCCTAAAGGAAGAGCATATTTACGGAGAACGTGCTCTTTTGTTGCAGGAGGAAAGAAGGGTTGTGTTGTTGCCACCCAAAGAACAGCTCTCCCAGCTCCCTGGAGTGTGGGGCCTCGGGCAATGGGCAGCCCTTTAGGAAAACAAAGAGAAAATGCATGGGGTCTTTGTGGAAGGTGCCCTCTAGAGCGGCCACCCCCCACTTGCTGCTCCCCTTGTCGGACCTCACCCCCTCCGCGGGGTACAGTGGCCAAAGCCTTGAGCCAAGGGATCGCTTTGGAAACTGCCTTTGTTCCTTTTTATCTGCAAGGGGGGAGGTTTTAGCAGAAACTAAGCTGGACACAGTGATATGCCCCCCGGGCCTTCCCCAAGTAAGAACATGCCCCTCTCAGATTTCTCCAGACCAGGATATTTTAAAGAGTTTTTTAAAGTTAGTCCCACACTGATGACTGTACCTTTCTGTCCTGAGTAACCTGCTCTGCTCAGCATCCTGTCATTCAGCACTCTGTTATTTCCGTGCCTCTAATTTTGATCATATGGGATGAAAATCATTTGTCGTTTACCACTATGGGGTATGATCAATCTTGTAAATTAATCACCACGTTCTGTTTCCCGGTTTTTTCCCCACTTTAACTTCATTTAACATTTAGTTCTACCATCACTTAATGCTTCGTCGTTACCATAATATCCCAATTTTGTAGCTATATTCTGTAATCCTGTGGGGAGTGTAGTGTGCAGCGGCTGAGGAGGGACATGGCAGGAAGCGTGTGGAGGGCCCCCCCCGCCATGCGGCACCTGACCCCCAAGTCCAGGGCCTGGGGACCTGCATGCTCCCTCTCAGCAGAAAGTTTCTGCTCCCAGGAGTGCAACCCCGCACACGAAACCAAGTTGAATGTCTGTGCGAGGCTGTGTGGCCGTGATCTGGCCGTCAGTCCCGTGCTTCAGTTTGCCCGGAGATTTGGCCACAGCTCTTCCTGGAGAACAGACAATGTGGCAGGTGTATTTCAAAAAATACTTTCTGAGATGTCCCCCAGGAATATCTTTATGAAGTGTTACTACTCTGATCAATTCTGGATCAGCGGCTTCCCCAGCTCGGCTGCGGGCAGTTTACTGTGGACCCCATTGCCCACGGACCCTCAGTGTCCAGTGTCCCGTGGCTTCAGTGGGCGAGATCTGCGTTCGGGCGGGTGGCCCCGCTCCAGGGGGGTCCTGCCACGTCTTCCGTGTGAGCCACGTGTCTGCGTGTCATGTTGATGTGTCTAATGGTGACCGCCTTCTGGTGAGTGTTATGTATGCCTGTTTGATTTTGTGATGAACTTTTGCTTCATATATATTTCTTCTTTTTTATGCACTCATTAAACTTTGTAACAGACCAAGGGTATTGTGCTAACTGCACGTGAATTTTTCACGTTGTCTTCTTTGCCCCCCCCCCCCCCCACGAAGTGCATTTAACACAGGTATTCTCGCGGGCTCCTGAAAGGATAGCCAGCAGGTGAGGGTGAGGGCCAAGCGCCCCCACCTCGGTACGCGGAGGTCAGTTTCTCACTCTGTGCTTTTGCACAAAGACTTTTTCTTTTCTCTCCGCGGGCAGCTCGTGTCCTGGTCTTTCATGGCTGTTCTCGTTCCCCTGGATGTGTCAACATCTGTGTGTGAGCGCTGTCCCTGCTGAGGGGAAAGTGTGGGCGCGGAGTAGACTCTGCCCTCCCTCTGTGTGTGTGTCGGGGCGCGGGGGACACAGCCCACTCGGCGGCGTTTCCCGAGCCACTGGGCACATGGGAGACCCATCCCGCCTGTGCGTCCAAGATGTCCTGGAAACCCCGGGGAATCTGGACGTGGCAGTGCGCCAGCTCTTCCCAAGGACGCCAGTGAGCCTGGAGGTCATGGATAAGGTTGGGTCTCGGATGAACTAGAAATAAAAGCAACACACGATTAATTTGGATGCGTTCACCTGCCCAGCTTGCCCTCACTCCCCTCCCGCTACGTGCATTCACAGCATGTACAGGGACAAATGTCACTGGTTTTCCTTTTGGTCGAAGGGTTAGATGTTTGGTGACAGGCTTGGCTGACTGGCTGATGGAGAGCTGGGCCTGACCTTGGAGGGAACGTATCCCAAGAGGGAAGAGCCCCCTCCCCAGAGCTCCCGTTAGCTGTAGGAACCGCAGAACCCGTAGAAGTGGTAAGAGTCTCTCTGCAGGTCTCTCCCACCCCACTTTTTTTTTTTTTTTTAAAGATTTTTTATTTATTTAGTTGACAGAGACACAGCGAGAGAGGGAGCACAAGCAGGGGGAGCTCCCCTACCCCACTCTTAACTGCCCCGAAGCTGTCCTGCTTCAGAGGAAATAGTATAAAGTGGGGAGAGTTCCAGAAACAGGAATTGTTCCGAGGAAGCCCTCAAACAAGGGCTCCTCTGAGGGGCACTTCTCGCCAGCCCCATGGGGTGCACCCAGTGACGCACCAGCCCCTCCCGCACCTGTATGGGAGGTCAGGTGAGCTCGGCCACTGGGGTGCCTCGTCCCCCTGCCGTTGCCCATGAAGAGGATGCCCGTCTTCCCCCTCCTGCCCGTGCTTGGGGGGCTGCGTTCTCAGCCGCCCAGCCGCCTCGCCCCGAGCTGCATGGCCAGCAGCCCACGGAGCCCTGTGTGCCGGGGGGGGTGGGTAGCTTGACATGGGTCCCGGCGCAACCTGGAAACAGCTCAAGGAGCTGGTCTCCCTCGTTAACAAGGGGCATTGCTCTCAACGGGGAAACAAACTAGAAAATTCTTCTTTGTCTTTTGGCCAAGGGTGTCCATGCCCGTCTGCCAACTGTCTGCCACCCTGGGTGGGGGGCTCACATCTTGTGGGGACGACCAGGCCCGATCGAGGCAGAAGCCACGGCAGGCTCATCCACCGAGGCATTAACATAAACATAGCCTCACTCTGGTAGGACTCCGTGCCTGGATTAAGGTCACCAGGGCTTCTCGCTGGAGTAAAAATCACCGCTCTCACGTGGAGAGAATCAAGGGTGGGATGTACAGCTAAGCAGACTCACCCTAGATCTGCCTCGGGAAGCCCTGTGTGTTCACTTTGCAATAATATTTCTAGAACACACTAACATTCTCCTGTGTCATAACCACAGCTCATTCTTCACATAACCCACCAGTGACCTGTTATTTTAAAAATCCATGTAATCTACAGCCAACTTGAGACATCTCTTAAAATCATTTACATCGATTTTATCTTTTGACCAATGTAAGGTACCTTCTCTCCCTGCCCATGAGCCCACCATTCTGTTGCATACGATCAAACAAGGGGAACTTTCTGCAGGCCATTTACCTTGGTCCCACAGTCATGCTCTCTCAGCCACACCACTCAAAACTGGGTGATATGCAGGTGCTATCTTACAGCAAATAGAATCGGGAAGACACACAGTAGGAACAGACACTACTTAGGAAGATTTATAGCAACCGAGCTTAGAGTTAGGGTTAATGCACAGCTCACGTCCAGGCATGCTAAGTTAACATTAAGGCTTCTAAATCTCACCAACAGCAAGGAAGAATGTGAGACCGTGTAACCCCGAGTGGCCGCCTGGCATGACTTTGGCCACTCTGTTGCTCATAAAACTAATTCCTGGCGCTCTGTAGGAAGCTGGGAGGGCCGGCAGAGAGAGCACAGTGACCCCCGCAGAATGGATGTGGTTTCTCCTGTAAATCCCATACCGAAGCTGTCACTCCTGTTGCAAAAGAAACATACCTGTATAGTAAAGCTGCGAACCTTCTCTATCCCAATGTAGACTTGAAAAGCCCTCTAGCATGTCGCATCGGGCTGGAAGGCGCTTCCTCCCCTTCCTCGGTCCAAAATCTTACGGTCTGGTGCCCGCTACAATGTTAAGAAAATGTGGTGACATAATTGGGCTCAGGGCTCCAGAACTTTCCCCTAAATCTTTCTTCTTGTTCTTTTTTCTGACGTCCTTCCCCCGGAGTGCTGGGGGCTCCCACTGCTGTCTCCTCTTCCTCTGTCCCCTCGGTGGTCGCCATCCATCCTCCTCACGCCCTCACCCTCGGACCTCCGTCCCCCACTTACCCTCCTCCAAGCCCAGTCAGGAAGGGACGCTTGCTGGAGGATTTGGGGGCTCTGCCAGTGGTACCATATGGACTCAACCGCCACTCTGTGTCCCCTGGCAGGTGCCCTGGCTCAAGCAGAGACGGAGCCCTGTGCCCTCTCATGCCCACAGCCAGCCCGGGCTGTGCACCATGTACCAGGTAAGACGTGTGCTGACCCCCCCAGGCCCCTCCTGTCCTCCTCAGTCAGCGGGGGCCGCATCCGGGCACGTTCCAGCCCGTGGGCTGCAGCAGGTGCAGCAGGTCTGGAGTGCCTGGGGGAGTCACGTTTGCAAAGTGAGGGGGCCAGGTCCTCAGGGGAAGCAAGCAAGGGTCAAGGTGAGAAGACCGAAAACTCTTGTTCAAGAGGCCTTTGAATTCCCAGGCGGGATCCTGCACAGATGACCCACAAAGGGCCAGCTGTGGGGTCAGGGCAGTGGACGGGCCCCTGGGACCAGCAGGGCCTCAGCGGTTCCACGGGCACCAGGGCACGGGGAGCCGGCTACCACCGTGACATTGACCTGCCCTTGAAAACCAGTGCCTGATGTACACTGAGCGATTGCTAGTTGAATTGTCACATGACGTGTGTCCTTGGGAAGGTCGATGGCGGGTGCTGTCCCCACCTGGGCTCGGTGGGGCCTACGCTGGGATGGAAGACGAGCCGTCACCTGTCCTCATCTGCTGCTCGGAGCACGAGGGCCCACAGGTGAGTCCGGACGGCAGGGGGAATCAGGAAAGGCAGCATCACCCCAGAGGAGGTCCTGAGTCCACCAGCAGTCACACTCCTACTTACGCACGGTGGCGGCCACCACACGGGTTTGCAGCCACAGGCCTACGCTTCCAGGTGACAGTGTGCGCCCGATTCAGACACCTGAGTGTGTCCCCTGGGGAGATGCAGAAGGTTGGGAACCCGTGCCTGAAGAGGATGGACAGCGTGGTGAGCGCACTGTCCCGATACGCTTGTGGACCATCCCCTCCCAAGAGCGTCAGCGGGACAGGCTGTTGTCCAGCCCCTGTGGCCACTCGCTCCGTAAACGCCTCTCTCCGCAGCTCGTCGGTCAAAGCAAACGCCCTCCCCGGGAGGCCAGTGCCCCCGCATGCTCCGTGAAGCCACCGGAGCGCCAAAGCCCCTGAACAGCGGCCCCTGGTGCGTGTGACTGGGTAACAGTGGGCCCCACACCTGGGTGTGAAGCCCCCACGTAGGGCCAGCTTGCCCCTTTCCCCCAAAACCACTCCACGCCTCCCTGCCCCAGGCTCTCCTCCGCCGACCAAGACCGCTTCTGTCAGAAGCCGAGCTCTCCACAGAGGGAGACGGGCTGCGCTCTTCAGGTCACACCAAGAATGTTGATTGTTCTCTTTTAAAAAACTACTTGGCAGAGAAAAAGCAACACCCCTCTCCTCCGCCTCTTCACCCAGACCAACTTCTGTGCGTGCATTAAAACAACCAGGCCTGAAAGAAAGAGTCTGCACGACACCCTCTCTGGCCACCAGCAGGCACACTAAGGTTCAGAGGACACATTGCGGGGTTCTGGTCCTGGGTTCTTTGTATTTATTATTTGCTCATTTATGGACTCCCCCTAAATACTGGGCACCCCAAATGCGATTTGGATTGGCTTGCAAGAACACACGCGAGAATACTGAAACACGCACGGCACTGGCTAGCGGTGTGTATGTGTGCATGGTACTCGCCTGTCTGCTAAGTGACCCGAAGTCGAAGACAGACCCCGAGTGGAAACCAAGGGCGAAGTTGCCACACGGACCAAGCCAGTGGGCTCCCCAAAGTCGTTACTGACAGTGCAGACCCTCCGAGGGCCTAGTCCACCCCCAGGGCCTCAGTGATCCACGTGGCAGGTCCCCACCATGCGAAATGCTTTTCAGGAGGTGCCTGTGTGTCGGGTGCATAGAGGACAGGTGGGCCGGTTCTGGGAGCCCCGGAACCTCCCTTCCACAGGGAGAGACACTGCCACGCTGTTCTCACACTGATGAAAGCAGTGCAACCGGGTCTTCTCTCCTCTCTGAGCAAGAGCTTCTGATGATTTGAAATGTCTCCCTCCAGCAATTTGGGATCCATTATTGTTTCAAGAAGATGGTCGTGTGTACCGGAGGGTAGATCTAATGGCACTTGACACAGGCCGGCTGCAGTAAATGGCTTCAGAATGCACCTGTCTGAGATTCTGTGGCAAAGGGCACTAGACACAGGCATGCAGAGGGAATAAAGGCCGCTGGATAGAGCCGGGAGCTGAAGCTCGGACTCTCAGCACTTAGCCGAAACCGTCTCCCCCCCCCCCGTGGCTCAGAAACTCCAAAGCTACCAATAAGCAATGCCGAGCAGACATTCTGTACCCTGACCTTCCAGAACACTCCTCCTTCTCCCTGTGTCCTCGTGAGTCTCTCTGCAAATCCACCAGGAAGGCTAGGAAAGAGCCATCCCCCATGACATCAGGGTGACCAGCAAAGGACACATGGGTTCCACGAGCCAACCCCCACCAGGAATTCTTTGATTCCAGGGGATCCAACACATGTCCTAGAACTACCGGAGCTCAACCTACAGGGACGGAACGTGACCACCGTATGTGGGGAGAGAGTAGCCCACGCAGACGGTGGCATCCTATTCGGGAACCCAAACGCAAGTTGGAGAGGCCGGAATTGCAAGGGAGAGACGGGGATCAGCTTGGTGGAGGGCAGTCCCCTAGGGAAATATCAAACCCTTTTTCCTTGCGTGTCCTGCTCTGCCCAGCCGGCCACCTCTCCCTGCGCGGGGCCCCCATCTCGGGGGGATGCGTGAAGCACGGGCACTGTGGGTGTGCCAGGCCTCATGCAGGACACCTGGTGCCACAGCCACCCCTCCCTGGGGGCGAGCGAGGACCAGCAACGGGACGGCGTCCACCCTTGATTCCCCCCAGCTCCTAGTCCCTTGGAGGCCGCAGGCCACTTCACAGGCCTCCCTGGCTGGAGAAGGCCCAGGCAGCTACCACGCACACCAGAGTTCAAGAGCCAGTGACACCTCGTGCTGCAGACAAGTGCCGAGTAAGACTCAGAAACGCGGGCTGTGGCCCTCTCTTCGCCTGAAAAGCACCAACGCAGCGGAAGTCGCCATCAGCGCTGCCCACTCCGTGGGGGTCCCATGCCACTGGAGAGAAATACAAGAGGCGCACGTGCCGCCCCAGCCCTGGGCACCCCTAGGTCTGTCACACCTACCTCTCGGCCCCGCGACGCCTGAGCCACGCTGGAAGGACACCCAGGGGCCCCGGGAGCCGCGGGCTCCCCTCCGCCTCTCACCGGCTCTGGCTTTGGGGCCCCTGCGTTTCTGCTCAGACCTCAGCTTCTCGACCATAAAGGGAGTGTCAGATGAAGGACTGGGAGTATTTCTCTGAAGACTGGGGTGCAGCGTGTCCCCAGGACATCCCTGCAAGCGCTCGCGGTGACCCAGGTCTCGCCAGCCCCGCAGCAATCGGGATGCCTTCCTGTGCACTCGGCCTGTGAGGGCTCGGTCTGCACGGGACAGACAGGAATCCCCGTCTCCCGGCCTCCAGACACTCCCCGCACGCTCCCGGGGCCCAGCCTTTCCCCGGGGGGATGGGGGTCTGCTTCCCACCACAGCTGAACTGGGGGCCCACGACCCTCACTTGCTGGAAAACCTGCTGCAACTTGTCTTTTCCTTCCAAAGAGAATGTTCCAGACCCCACGCCCCTGAACCTGCTTGCTCACAGTCTGCGCAGAGACCATTGGATCCTAAGAAGAGACTTCGGGGCTCATCGTTTGGGTTTATAGCTCGGTTGTGACGTCCGCTTGACATTTATGCTAAAAGAGCTTCTGTGCACGTCAGACTCATCGAGGTCTTTGTACATTGAGGGCCTGGAAGTAGCGGAGACAGACCAGAGCGGGGCGCGCCGACATCCCGTCCTGCTTCTCGCCGTTCTGGGGACAGCGAGGAAGCCACAGGAAGGCCTCACTCCAGAACAGCCGGCGCCAGACCCCCTGACTCTGGGGAGCAGACCTGCCCTGCGGGGCAGACCTTGCCTCTGCCAGGAGCTCTGCGGCTTCCCCGGGGTGAGGGGCCGAGACACTGCGCGCTGCTGGCCCTCCCATCACCGGGGGGATGCCTCGGCAGAAGGGCCCCTTAGAGCTGGTGAGCGCCAGGTGGCCAGTGCAAGACTGAGAGAGGGGAGGCCCGGCGCCAGAAACCCACCACCATCTTACGGCTTTCGCAGCATCTGAGAGCGGCTTCCAGCCCGATAGGTGCCCCCGACCCCTCCGCCCCCTCCGTTGTCCTCCCCTCCACCGCGCCCACCTCCCGGGATGACAGAGCCTGACCGCGGGCATCAGGCGGGGACACGGGGCTTGCTGTGTCTTTCTGTGCCCAGGGGCACAGCCTCTTGTCATTCCGACCCCTGCACGCCCACCGAGGACGGTCCAGCCGTCCCTGCGGGGGAGGGGGTGGTTCGTCTCCCGATTTCCCAGGAGAAGTCAGAGCCGCACCTCCCCCCACCCCGCCTGCCGCCCCCGACAGCAGCCTGCATCCCCGCCCTCAGCTTCACCGTCCGCCAACCACAAAGCCCTGCACCCTGGTCACGGGACAAAGCGCCGGTCCCTTCCGAGCCGACCGCTGGGAACAACAGCAGGGCCACAAGGCCGAGCCCGCGGACCGCACAGCCCACCCACGGGCTCCCTTCCCGGGATCTGAGAAGCAATCTACGTCAGGGCAGGCGCCACGCAATCTACAATCGCCCTCTAAATCAAAGGTCTGCCTGAAAACTGCGCCAGAAATAAAGACCGCTGTTGACCCCGCACAGCTTTCCCTGAAGAAAGAAGCTCAGCTCTAATTAAACTCACTCGAGTCAACAATTCAGGAACAAACATATTCTTAAGCTTGCAAAGGAAAAAAGCACAGGGCACACTGCACGTATCGTTCAGACTGAGAAGAATTCTCCCCCGTATACGAAATCTAGGATGTCTTGACTTTACCCCAAAACGACACTAACGCTGTCCCCTGAGGCACATCAGAAGTCTGAACAAAACCGGCGTCACAGCTTCCCCTGAGGAACGGGCATGAACGAAGGGAGGAGTGGGGCCCAAGGCCATGGGAGAGCCTCGTCTGGCCCACCTGTGGTTTCTGGGGACGCGGGAGTCACAGGGTCTGGGGCTGCGGATGGGAGCACCCC